CCCCCCCCCCCCCCCCCCCCCCCCCCCCCCCCCCCCCCCCCCCCCCAAGCGATGGAGAGCAAGATGGTGTCGGAGAAGCTTTCCAATGCACCTGTACTTGTGCAAATAACAAAGCAAGTTTATTTTGTTTGTTTGTTGTCGTCCCAGCAGCCAGGTGACTGACAGGTCAGCGGTTACGGCTGATGTTGGCTGCCAAAACATGGAGGAGCAGATTAGAGATTTGGTGTTTTGTCTATTACAGTGTTTTATTCTAGATGCCCTTTGAAGCCTCACTTGCTGACTTCAGATACCTGAAGCCTGTACAGGCATTGCCAGCAGATTTCAGATGCAGGGATTAACTGGAGGTATGTGATCAACTGCTCTGGCCTGGCTCTATATTCAAAGGTATTGAAGTGGTAAAATATGTCATCTGAATGTTCATGTGACCCGACTTCCAATAAGAATGCCTGTATCTGTGGCATTGCGGGTGAATACTGCCCCCTTGTGGTGTATTTAAATGTTGGTCTATTTATGGATATTCAGACCTCATTTTGTCCTTAACAGTTCATAACCAAAAAAAAAAACCACTAACCCAAAAAAAATGAAGATACGGGTTTGTTTATTTGGCTGAAGGGGAAAAACAAAGAAACATGAAACAAGCCTCGTGTCAAAGCACAATAACAAACTCAGTGTGCTATTCGCACAATTATTTCCTGTATGATTCACAATCACAAAAGTCTCATCACAATCAGTTTGGTAAACGACACTTGCCAGCTTCAGCTCATTAAATTATAACATTACTCTGGAATATTTACAGCAACAGAAATATTTCCTGTGTGAAGTAGCAGCAGAACAGAAAGTGTGCTCTGGAAATGCAAGAAAGTGCCTCCGTGTGAATACGGCTATGGGGGGGGGGGGGGGGGCGGACGTTGAGTGTTTCTCGTCAGTGAGTGAATTAGTCCATGAATACTTTCATTAAAAGTGCAATTTCAAATCAATTATTACCAAATAAAATAAATAAAAGTGTGATATGGTTTAGTTAAAGGAGACAGAACAGAACAGGAACATACTTCAGAGGCGTCGTTTGCACAGAGAGCTCTCGCATTCTTGTCCGGGAGGAAAGGGCAGCCTCTTGGCACCACAGAGAAGCTCCCCCAGCTTTGGCGGCCCTTCCCAGCCTGCCCTGGATCCCAGCCTGCCCTGGACGTCCTCAGTCACTTTCTGGCGGGAAACGGCATCTCATATGGTGCCATGCCGGTGTTTTGCTACGGGGGTCTTCTCAATGGACGGTATCAGATTGAGGCCTCCGGGGGCCATGTTGTGTACTGGAGTTTTGTTTTCCCCCCCCATTCAAGATCATGGTTGGCCAGTCAGCCTACAGTGCATAACTTATCAACACTGGACACTAACTTTCCCTGTTTCCAGGCTGCCTGAGGTGTTTCCCATCCACACACAAGCAGTAACGAAAACCAATAAGCTGGAGAATGACACTAACTAATGTCACTGATCATCTTAAAATAACGTAAAATCCCAGGTCTCCTCCGCGCTTGGGGAAGCCCTTGTGTGTACCCTGTTAGCGCCACCTGCTGGACTCCAGGAAGCAAAGGCCCCAAAGGTCAATAGGGGGGGGGAGGGTCAGAGGGGCTGCCGGGGGCCCGCCTACAAGTGCAAAGCCCGTAGGGTGTGCTCACTTCTGCTGCAGACCATAACCACACGTCATGAACCCTCAGTGGGGGCGGTACTGTGACCCAGATAAAGCCTGGGTGAAATTCAGCGAACATGGTGTGGGGGGGGACTGGAAGGATAAAGGTGAAGAAAGGCACAGAGATTCAGGCGTTTAAAGTGTGCATGAAAGTGCCCCCCCGCTGTGCCGCAGCGTGGGGGCCTCGCTCACCCTGTCATCGCCGGTCGCCAGGGCCACATCACAAATGAGACCCAGGGCTTCGCTGTCACACTGTCACACTTCATAAACACAAATGCCAAGAATGAGAAAAACCCTAATATAGCCATTTGTGGTGGTGGGGGGAGGGGGAGGGGACTCTACTCCTGTCTGATGCTGTGTTCCTCTGATAAGCTGGACAGCTGTGGTTCTGCACTGTGCCCAGAGGCTATTAGTGGGCTCGCTGACAGCACAGTCCAGAAGCTGGATTTAATGCTCACAGATGCACACGAGTGCAAAACCAGTGAGCACAGAGCTTGTGCCACAAGTGCTCACTGGGGTTTAACTGGTCACTCATCGCCTCCTAGTGACTGAATGGTGTAGGTGGGTGATGCACGCAATGTAACACAGTTTTTTTTTTTTTGTTTTTTTGTTTTTTTAAATCTGCCAAATTTGACTGACAAAATTGTCGGCCTGCAAGGAACCAGTCAGGAATCGCACGCGTTGCTGCGGCGCGCTCTGGCTTCCGGGTCAGGACTCGCACACACTCCACACAGACTCATATTTACAGCCACGTTGTCCGTGCCGATGCCGGCTAACCCACGTCAGTATTCCCACTCGTCCGTCTTCATGTCAAGGTAGCTGAGGATGTTCTGGGCAAACTTGACCGCCTGCTTGCGGGCGACCTTGGTCATCTCGTCGCCCTGCGGATCCACGGCGTCCAGAGCCAGCAGCTGTTTCGTCAGCAGCTCCTCCAGTAGCATGTAACTCTTATCGACCCGCTTGCCGTCGAAGCCCAGAACCTGGGCCTGCAGCTCCGACAGGCTGGTCAGAACCTGCCACACGGCGCCGTGGGAGGGGTGCTCCTGGAGGCCGGGGCAGCGCCTAGCCAGCGCCTCCCGCAGGTCCAGGAAGGTGATGACGGCCTGCACCTCCAGCACGGCACGGCGGCGCGCCTCGCGGATGCACGGGTTGCGGGCGGTGTCCACCTGGTCGAGGTGCGTCAGCAGGCCCTGCAGCTCGGCCTTGGGCCGGAAGGCCAGCTCCCCGACCTCGTTCTGCCGCAGGACCCCCTCCCTCAGCTGGGAGACGCGGCCTCGTATCGCCTCGATCTCCCGGATGGAGTCATTCTGGGCCAGGTCGTACCTGCCGGCAATGGCACACATGCATTTTCACATTGACAAATTGTTAATAAGGAGGTGGGGGTCACCATCAGCCACCAAATATACAGAAGAAACATCGTCATGAATAAGAAAATGTCCGAAGCTGCATCAGTCCCATAAAGGCAGATTATACAGCACTGCGCTAAAGTCTTAGGCAGTCAAAGACAGTATTTAAGCCTATTTATCTGGGTTGTAAGTGTACATTTACTCAAAAAGGAAACAATTTAACATATTTAAATTAACAGTAACAATAAAAAATCCCTTCTGTTCTCCAAAAAGTTACTGATATCTTGTTGGACGGCGAGATGAACATCACCGTGCTTCCTCTCCATTCCATGGATTTGTTACATTTCACCATCAGCGTTATAAATTTCTTAACTAATTAAATAACTCAATCAGCTACTGAGTAGCTAAACATAGTGGGTACTAGTGGTCGAGTGTATTGGATGGTAACTGGAAAAACTGGGGTGACTTTATGCGAGGTTTTAAAATGGCTAAGCTGACACACACCAACAGACAATTGTAATTTTATACAGACATGATCATCGTTTAAACATAATTTTATCCGACTGTCTGAGACTTTGTATCGTTACTGTAAGTTGGTATGAGTACTGATGTTATCTACTGCATCTGATATTCTCTACAGAGTGTGTTGTGAATTTTACATGGACCTTATTGCAATATTTCACTGTGACACTTTGAGACTTTACTGCTGGCTTATTGCCATGATCCACTAATACCTTATATATCCTGTGTTAGTGTTTCTTTTTGGTTTCTTGTTTGTATCTACTGTGTAGTTTATCATAACTATATTTTGACTGTTGTATTGTTGCACTAGAAGTTGATCGTTGCCTGATTTGGTCTACAAGAAGGCATTCAAGTAAGTATTTCATTGTACTTTATACCAGGACTGTACATATAACAATATTCCTTTGAACCTTGAACTGGAACCTTTTGCGCGATGCTCTATAATGAGCCGTCCTGGTGATGCAGCGGGGGCAGTGCCGGGGGGGGGCGGGGCCTCGTACCTGCGCGTGTCGTCCCCCTCGCCCTCCAGGTCCAGGTGTTTCAGCAGAGCGTTGATCTCCTCCACCACCTGTTTACGGTAGTTCCGCACGGCGGCGTTCCCCGACACGTCCAGGGCGTCCAGCTCCACCAGCAGCTCGGTGAGCACGCGTGACAGCTGCGTGCAGCTGTCCCGACTGCTCAGGCCCATGAGCAGTGCCACCAGTTGGCTGCGGACCGCGCTCACCCGCACCATCGCCTGGTTAATGCTCTGGACGGCGGTGTGCGTGTCGTCGGACAGCGGCAGGGTCAGCTGGCGCGTGCGTCCCTCCACGACCTCCTGCACGGCGCAGAGCCGCGTCAGCGCGCGGTAACGGGCCTTGCGCAGCGACACGCGTCCGCCCGTCTTCACCTGCGTCAGCCGCAGCACCAGCTCCTGCAGGGCATCCACCAGCTCGTCACTGATCTCGCCGGCTCCCGCCCGCTGGGGCGCCACCACGCCCTCCTCCACCAGCCGCCGCGCCTCGCAGCTCAGCTCCTCGATGGCCAGCCGGGACGGGTGCGTGGCGTTCTCCTCCAGGTGCCGCAGCAGGCCTTCCACCTCCTGAGCCACCAGCTTGCGCGCCTGCTGCAGCTGCGGCCGGCCCTCCGTCTCCACCTGGTCCACCTCCACCTGCAGCCGGTTCAGCTCACGCTCCAGGCGCCGGTACTCGCGGTCGCTCTGCAGCCCGCTGAAGGTGCCCACCTGCGGGCCCAGCGTTGCCAGCTCACCCTGCATCTCCTGTAGCCGTGTCATGGATGGATGCTGGCTGCTGGTGTCCATCCTCTTCCCTCCATCAAAAGGCTTCCCAAAAAGGCTGTGAAAAAGTAGGTTTTGGGAGGGGGGGGGGGTGCTTAATCCCCCTTTGACACTTTCTTCCCGTGACTCGTGTGTGAAACAAAAGTTTTTGGGAGGGGGGGGGGGAGGATTACTGGCATTACTACTGGCTTAATGCCATGATCCACTAATAGCTCAGATATCCTGTGTGTTAGTGTTTCATAGTTTGTATCCACTGTACAGTTTGTGTTGTCGTGATGCTGCACCCTACGTTGTCTGTTATAGTCTCCAAGAAGGCATTCAAGTAAGAAATTCATTGTACTTTGACCCTGTACACTGTACATATGACAATACACCTTTGAAATCTTGAAAATATAGAGCAATCTGACAACAGCACCCACTCCAGCCCAGGTAGTTCTGTAATGGACGCTGGGTTAACAGCGGCACCCGGGCTCAACGTAAACTACCAGACCTGTGACGTTCAAGTCAGCGGCCACCTTCAGGTGGGGAATACCAGCTGTCTGGCTCCAGCGCCAAGGGATGAAGACGCTGCTCCTTTAGCTCCTGGAGTTCACGATTACCCGACACACGTATCCCAGCGTGACCGTCTGCCTCGCTGACGAGCACAGCAGGTGGACCCGCGGTTGTTATGGAGTAACTGCAATGGTATTTACTGCAGGAAATGTCTGTCACTGGCACTGATGGTTCAATTTAGTCAGTGTTAGACTTTAAGCACTGATGAGCTTCATTCTGTCTAAAGACAGCCACCACAGAATAATTAGTTTCATCATATTAAAAAACCAGAGAATTTCTGTTATATTCATTATAACTAGAGTGAGCCCAGACTGAAAGGTAATTACAGCATCAGGCTTGGATTTGATTGTGACTGTAGAAAGGAACGGAATTTAAAATGGTGTGAGCGAAGCAATACTTACGAATGCTTCTCTGAATGAACAAATCGGTGCATAAAAATCATCTCAAATCTAGCTCATATTGAGAGGCACACCAGTATGTAATACCTATGTCCTTAGTCCTCTGTCTGTGATGTCATCACTGGCGTCCTCTGCCCGTTAGCCTTAAAGGGGCAGTATCACCCACCGGCAGTGGCGTGCAGGGATTTTCTGAAATTTCTCATCTGACACATCAAAGAACTAGCAAGGTTTCACTAAATCACAGGCTGGGACGTAATCTCTGGTAAAATGGACAAAAAGAGCACAACGTCAGATCCAGAAACCCAGCCAAGGACCTTCAACCTATCGATTACAATTAATTTACTTAGCAAACGCTTTTATCCAAAGTGACGTACAACTGAAAGCAGGATCGGGCAGTTCCTGGAGCAACTGGGATTAAGGGCCTTGCTTAAATGGCCAATGATGACATGACTATGGGATTTGAACCGGTGACCTTCTGGCTCCTGGAACAGTGTCATAACCCACTGAACCACACAGAGCCCCCATCATGTGCAGCGGACAGGTATTCCTGGGTGGGGGGAGTCCCCTGCACTCAGACAGCCTACAAAAACCTCTCGTTTGGATTTATATAACCAGTTACACAAAAGCCCGCTTCAGCATAGCCTTGCAGCTGACAGCACCTTATTAAAATGTACTTTTGGAGAACACGAACACACCGCCATCCAGACATTTCTGGAACAATAGCGAAATCATTGTACTGCTTGAGACGGAGTTCTCAACTCACTTAACCTTGACATTCCCTCTAACTGTAATGACATTGTGACAACATTCCTTTCTCAATACACCACAAAGACTACGATGTCAAAAATGCCACATACCTGCTGATATTAACAGAACGTAAATTCTGTACCTCGACACCTGAATGTTGTCTGAAAAAGTGCTTTGGAAAACAACACGCGAAAGTGGTAGAAAGCGATTTTCTTGCATGCTGGAACACTGACCTCCTAAGGTGGAGACCACGGTGACTCACACAATGTTTCCGTGCACAATGGATCTCAACAAGGAGGTGAAACTGAAGGCAACATGGATGCTTGGTGACGGACGGGTGTGCTCTGTCACCAGAGGCACAAAGCAGCTGCCCACACCAGAGGTCTCCAGCGTTTTTTGGGCTTTCGGTGCCATTCAGCCCCTGATTCTTAATTCTGTCAGTGTCTCTCTCATCCTGCTAGCACGCAGAGGCCTTGCTGCAATACCAGAAGATCTCTGGAGGACTCAGAATACACCACTCATGGATAATTTTCTAGCGTCCATACATGCCACCGAGATAGGATAATTAAATTTAAAAAAAAGACATAATTAGTTTCTGGGACAAGCTGCTGTTTCCATTCAGGGCCGAATAAACTATGACACCGACGACAATGCTAAGCATGCATGATTACAAATATAGTAACAAAAATAACCGCACCTGTAATATGCCGTATTCGATATGGTGGGGTAACCATAAAGTTTGTATCTCATCCGCAGTCTGTTCTACACACAGCAATCCATATCAAACCTGAAGTACTTACACCCCCGATCTGTTATACGACACATATGAAACTAAGGCGATGTATGAACATGCATCAGTATTCTAGTGGAAGCCCTCTCGACGCTGCCGAAACCGCCACCACATTTACATGGCTTTCGTGAAACCATATTTAATCTATGGCAGGAGATTCACTCGGTCCACTGGCAAACGCTATGCATCACTACCTTCGCGCATAGGCAATGTCTCACCTTTTTAAAACGCCAAAGACATTCGCACACATGGTTCAAGATGTCAGTTTCCATCAGCGACAGACATCGGCGTGTCAAGGCGTGTCGAGGACGCGGGATCGCCTTCAGATGGTCGCTCGGCGATGCCACCCTGGCTTTGCTGGCTGCTCGCGGCAGACGCCTCGCGCCGAAGCTCCCCGCATTGTGCGCCCCTCCCACGCGCCAGCAGTCAGGGGTAGCACCGCGCTCGGGCCGGAAGGGGGCGACCGAGTGCCGCTGCTCCGCGAAAAGCAGCATCCAAAAGCAACCCGACAGAACTATTTCACTCCGATTCGTCATATTTAAGTAATACATATTTTATATAATGCTGTAAAACGGGAATTGGTTGATTTCAACAAAGAAAAACTAATGAGAACAAACCGACGCCACGATTTTCTTGTCTGTCGGTTTAACAATATGTTTACAGCGGAAATCTTAGGGTCGGGTCGAGGAGGTGCCCTGTGACGCTTTAAGTTTCTAGGAAACGACAAGCATAAGTAGGACGTGGAAACGCGGACTGTAATTTAACACCGCTATAGGAACACGCCCCTCCCAAACTGCACGGACACACTGTCACACAGATGGCTGTGAAGTACCTCCGGGCATCTTTTAGCCAGTGGAAAGATGTCTAAAAGAGACAAGCGAGCGGCGCAGCTCCCCCACAACCTAGGGGATGGTTAATAGAGATTATCAAGTGAAACGTTTCAGTTGTTCCCATGTCAGTTTGGCTACTTTGTAAGTAGCATCTTACCTGCATAACCAGCGAACAGCCATTGGAGCAGCAGAGGAGATGAGACGAGAACAGAAACAGCAGGGTGGGACTCCCTGTGAAACCGTTCGGCTGGCCGAGCAAGATAACACAAGAGAACCCGGGACGACGACGTCGGAAAATACCAGACCTCAGTCAGCGGTCCTGTCAACTCAGATAACGTTCAACTGGCACACTTAAAGTATAGGCCTACATATATTTATTTTAAATATGGGTTCAATATAGATGTTTTAAAGTGTTTAATTTTGACTTGGTTACACTGTGATTGTTCTCAATACACATTATACTACCTGTAAAAATAGGATTTTTAATAAAAAAAAAAATAGGTACATCTATATTAAAGGGACATTTCGTACATAACTTACAATATTATGATCCGAAGCTCCATGACTGAAGTGCACGCAAATGGACTCAACGCCGTTATATATTTTGGTTGCCCAGCCTGGGAACTCCATGTTTGTTGGTACAGACGCTACTGGCTAATACGAGTAACTGGGAGGGATTTACTTGCATCTATTGTGGGACAGACTGGGAGATCTGCCATGACGGTGCAATCCAGAAAATCAAGCTCTTATTGGGTGGAAACGAGAAACGGTCATTTTTGACCGCTGAAGTTGCTACGTCCGAATGTCGGGTCGAAACAAAACGGGAACAGCACGAAAAGAAAAAACTAAAAGTATTGTATATCGGGCTTAATTTAACCAATTTGATAAACTGAGTATTTGACACAAAAATATTCATGCAGAGTTAGAATTATCCGGTTAATTTTGAGATTAGTGTTGCCTAAATCTTAATGTTGACATTTTCGCTCGGCACTCCGATACGGCAGGTGGCGGTATCCATTTCACTGTTATATAGTGACATTTCAGGAATTTCAACGTAGAAGAAGATGGCTGGTACTGTCATGGCGAGTGGTTTCTGACCTCTGTTGGGAGTACCAAAGGTGTCAAAATCACATGGCGTTAAAGGGAAGGGTGAGATGAGGCGGTTCTGAACGCATTCCGAAGCAAGATGATCGTGGGAAAGACAGGGTGTGTGTTATGGCGGTCAAACGGCCAGAGTCGGTGGCTCCTGTCATTAATGAACGTCTCGATCAGTCGCGGGTACAGTGACAGCCAACCTGCGAACCAGGAGCAGAATAATCGGCCAAGCGAGGTTTGTGTCGCCCGAACGCATACAAAAACCTACAATCTTAGTGTGATTTCCGCGGAATTCAGTTCTCCCGGTTGTGAAGATATCTGGAACTAATAATGAAAAAGTTATGCTGTGTACAGCTGTATGTTATTTTGTCAATGTTTCGTGTCCACAACGTGCCATTACCTCGTCTGAGGACTGGCTGGTTTCCCAGCCAGGACAGCCCGGTGGTTGTATTTTGAGAAAGAGCTGAGGATCATATTGTACCAAGCAGCCGGAATATTTGAACACAATCTATTTCGGTTCATTACAAAATCTCCAGCAGAGCAGATAACTTAAACGACCACTAGAGTTTCGTCTATGCCCGTGTCTTGTGCCTATTATGAATACTTTGATAAAACTGCAGAAATACAACTATTACACATACCTTACTGCTTCTGAGCTTTGTCAGACCGTATGACTTGGTTCCCCAATTCCGGTTCTGCAGACTTCACTGCCCAGACACACCTACTAAACCTAGTAATTAGTGGATTAAGATGTGTTTCAACAGGGAAATCTGCAAACTGAGTCGGATTCTGGTCCTCCAGATGCGGAATTGGGCAACCCTGCCATATGAAGTCTATTTATAGTGTAGTAGTCTACCATTGGGAATGCTCCCTAATAGTTTGTATTAGTTTCTGATAACCATTTGGCCACTTATTAATGACTTGCAATGTAACCCTTAATTTATAGATATTAAATGTACTACTGATGTTGCGGGGACTTAGAACTGCAACATGGATGATACATCTTGTATTTTATCTCAAGAATTACGTCTGACTTGCACATGTTGGATTATACAGGGTGTCCATAAAGTCTCTTTACAATTTCAAAAATGTATTACAAAGGCAATTGATGAGATATCTTTGTTCTATGTACTCAGTGGTTATCAAAGTTATTAATCACATTGCAAACAAAGATACGGGACATCACTAATCGAAAGCAGAGGATCACTGATGCCATTGTCACCATTGGTGAGGGTATGCTACAGCAAACATGGTGACATCACTAATCTAAAGCAGAGGATCACTGATGCCATTGTCACCATTGATGAGGGTATGCTACAGCGAACATGGCAAGAAATCGAGTACCGTCTTGATGTGCTTCGTGCAAATAATGGTGCCCATATAGAGGTGTATTAAATTAAGCAAAAACAACTTAAATATGTACGTCTCATTTTGTAATAATTTCCACATATCTGTCTTTTCATTTGCCTCTGTAATACATTTTTGAATTTGTAAAGAGACTTTATGGACACCTTGTAGATCATAAATATAAACATGATCATTTTCTGCCTAGATGCAGTGCAGGTGGTCTCATGTCCTTAGAGTGCCTGTGATTCCTGTGTCTTCAGAGATCCAGTTTCATTCCGGCAGCTGGATCCAAGCATGACTGGATTGGTCCCCCAGACAGGCTGTCAAATCTCCGCCCAATCATTTACCACATCCGTGAGAATGAGACTCCACTGGAGAGAAGGTTGAGACATCTGAGGCAAGAGACTGAAGATTGGAACCATCACTTCTGGGCTAACCAGAACATCTCATTCAGCAAGGTTAGTAGCAAAGGGGCCATCATACGTTTTCAGCAACTGGATTGAATCAATTGTGTGTTTCTCAATAACCGCAACGTTTGCCATTACATTTGCTTAAAAACAATGTGTACTGTACAATGTGTTATTTGTGTACTGTAAAGAATAGACTGGTACTGTACCTCCTGACACCAAAATCTACAGCCTGCAAACACCTATGTAAAGCAGCTTAATGTATTTTATGTCTTTGCTGTACCACACTGGTACGTTCAGAATATAAGATTAACAGGAGCCTTTCAGTGTGCAGGCCAGATGGGGGCGATGAGCAATGTGGAGACACTCAGACAGCTGGTTAAGCTCATGGCAAGTTCAGGGAGGATAAACATCCAAGATTTAGTACAAATACTTCAGAAAGGAACTGTTTTGCAGTTAATATATTTCATTAGATACATATGTACTTCAGGAAACCAAACGGTATTTTGTCTAAGTCTAAGGCCTTGTCCACATACACACGGGTATTTTTGTAAAACGTTGCTTTTTCTATGCGCTTTTGTTTTTCGCCTGCACGCAAATGGTGAAGATTTTCAGAAGCTCTGTTTTCAGTATCCTTGTATAGACAGGGAAAACCGAGTTTTTGTCATGTAATGTCAGTGTGTGCGCCATTATTTGCTTTGTTTGACGTCAGAGTGTGCGCTGTTTGCTGCTTACATTAGGCGAGTTTGCTCTTAACAGTGCGTTTTAGTGTTTTCATGTGGATGGAGATTTTTTTTAAAACAGTGTTTGTGTGCATGGGTTTTTTTTTAATAACAGAGGAGGAAAAACACCATTTTTAAAATACTCATGTGCTTGTGGACAAGGCCTAAGAGAGGTGGAGGAAATCTAGATAACGCAAAGGTATTTGTTTTAGACTGTTTTGTGTTATTCAGGTATGAACCAATGGGGGGCAGCATTGCACTGTAGAAATCACACAGACTGTTCTCATGCCTGCTGATGTGTTGGGCTTCGCTTCTTTGTCATTCATTTTATGCAGCTGAATATCTATGCTTATTTTAATCAGGAAAAAGAAGACTTTATCCAGTCACACCTGGATGCAAATGGCTTGAGTACAAGAGATGAGAATGGTGAGGAGAACAGGTTTGCTTTTTGTAGCTTTGTCTCCTTTTGGCGATTATAATCCAGTCATTTATTTAAAGATCATGGGACCTGTTTTCCTTAGGCAGGAAGAGGACACTGAGCAGCGAAGAAATGGCAGTGTTTTACAAGCATTTCCTGGACGAGAACCGCGTGAAGCACGCCAACTACAACAAGTTAGTTTTGATTCAAGAGCAAATGTACATATAGACACCAAAAAAGCCACATATTTTATACGTTTTTATATCATGATCATGACAATGATAAAGATGCAGAATACTGTCTCTGGGTAAATAAGCTAAGTGAATGCAGTTGGGGGAGTTAAAATTGGAGAAGAAAAACTGGTTAAAAGTGGAGTTTAAATCTTAGAAGCTGGAATGAACAGAAGGATTGTATTTCTGTAGACCATTCAGTAGAGCGCCAATCCCATACATTCGTCAGTTCAGTTCCATCCACAGTAATTCAGCTGGATCCCAGCCTGTATGTAGTTGGATACCATGGTGAAATGGCTTCCAACTAGTGGCAAACTCCTGGGCGCTGCTCTGAACTTTGTCTTGGCTGCCAAGGTTTTCAAAGAATATGTATAATTTTCTTCCCACATCTGTGAGTGGTTTGTAACTTATAACCGGCTGACGGCGTACTTCCTTTCCTGTACCTGCAGGGAGTGGTACAGACGAAATTTCACCATCACTTTCCTCATGGGGAGGGTGTTTCTGGTCAATGCTTGGAAGAAGATGGCGGGAAGATGGAGCAGAGTACATCGGGCTTGATTCCTGAATAAAAAGCCGTTTGTACAGTATACATACCTGATGCCTATTATACGACGTGACATGTATCAAGGCTTTTTTTGTGTTTGCCTGCAGCCAGAAGTCACATAACTCTCATGACAGAACTAGTGATAGGGTGGCCATTACAGTCCTTGTTGGTGACCTGTTTCTGTCCTTTCAGGACCTCACAGTATGTCTGGGGGTTGTTCACAACAAACAAGCATACAAATATTTTTTATTGCATTCTCATTATTGAACGATTATTATATAATTGTAGACTCAAGGGTTGCATTCACATGACATTTTGAAGATCTGGAATGTTCCGGAATACGGTTTTTGCCCTGGTGAAATTTGCCCTTGTGATTATTAATTATGATGGAAGCTTTAGTAAAATCTTTGTTGAATTGAATGTTCAAACGTGCGTATTAATTCAGATACTAACAAGGGATGGGATGAATGAGGCATGGAGTTTCACAAAGGGTTGGATTAACCTGTGCACTCAACCACTGCTGATTTGACCCTTTTATGCTCTTGGTTGGGTTTCATTGGGTTAAACCGGACAGATTAACAGTACATAATAATCCCACCCACTGTGCTTTTTGGATGGTCGTTACTCCGATCTATGGTTGTCGTGTCATCTATAATGATCTTTTCAATGGCAAACAAAATTAGCATTGAAATTTCTCTTTCTTTACAAGTGCAATTATGGAACCATCTCTTGCATAATCTGTCCAGCAACCATTTCTTGTTGAATTGTGTATCAGCCTGGTACGATGTGTTAACAGGAAAAGCACAGAAATTACGTAAGACAAGCAGTTTATTGTATCACAAAATATGACTTCACTCACCCATTATAGTTAATTAATCCTCTTACAGCTCATTCTTTCACACTTTATGTATTAGGGTAATAAATATTGTTTCGGTTCCCTCAGATATTTTAAGTAGTAATGGTTAATTAACACCAATGTCCTACGACGAGGACATTTTAATATTCAAACTGTTAACTAACTATTACAATTAAATGTTTTTGCGTGTAATGTAATTGCCTTTGGGGAAAATGGTATTCATAATCGTTTATTTCCACAAGAAGTGGCTCTAATATTTGCGACCGGTGGGTGGCAAAAATAGTCTCATAAAAAGCGTGATTTCCTGACACTGCCAGCCTAGGTACAGTATGTCATCCAACTCACGCTACCCGCGGTCCCCGCCCAACCGCGGTTTATGTCACGTTTAGAGAGCTGTCGCTTTAAGGGTTGTAGGGTGACGTCATGATCAAGGAAGAGGGGGATTCTGGGGCTTGAGGCAGCGCCATTTTCGCGCAGGAAGCTGCTTCTGTCAGTCGGTTAGGGACGCGCCTCTGACTGACCGAAACACCGTGAAGTATCCGAAGAACACAGCGCTCGGCTGGCGGCTTTGCCCACCCTCTGAGGCCCGACGACTATGTGAGGTCCGGTGGCCGCCCTGAGCCCGTCGGAGGCCGTCCCACGGTGTCGTTCGCTCAGACGCGTTTTCCAGACCGCTGTTATTAAATAATCGCTTGTACAGGCGGTGACCAGGTGAGTTGAAGCCGGACTGAAGCTCGGACACCGGGGGCCGGTATCTGCCGGCGGCCTCGCCCTGCCTGCAGCTCACCGCGAAGACAGGAAAACCCCTATAGCTTAAGAAAGAAGCACGGCTGAGAGGTGTGCGACGAACCCACCCATCCCCCGGAATAAGCCGGTGAATCGCTGTCCATAAGTAACCCGAAGACTGGATGCTAAGCGGAGCGGTAAGCCGTCAAACTAGCCCCCCACCGACCACCGTCTTCGGCTTCTCTGTCCGAGTTGACTTCATCGCTAACTTTCTATTCATTCCAACACTTTATTTATTACAACTAATGTGCAGTTGTATTCCAACGAGTAGGTCTAACATCAATTTACTATATAATAGGCTTCATTTTTGTAGTGCGCCGCCTGAGAAATACGCTTTCATTCGAAAAGTAATTATCCAGTAATCGGTATTAAGATACTGAATTGGCTGCACAGACTGCCTGTTAAACATGCCCAACAGACGATTAATTAAATCCAGTCATGCTGAAGTAATGTACGATTACGATGTGCTGCGGACCTTAACGCATAATTAACCTTGATAGCTGCAAACATTCCGCTCCACCGATTCAGCTGACATAACTGTGCTCGTAAACTTTTGCTTTTTTACATGCCGTAACCAGGATACACACAGACTGACGGGGCGAGATAACTGCGAAGTGATTGTTTTAACGTGGAAATACACGGCATATCGGTACCCGTCCGCTGAAACCGATTATTCGTGTGACCTGCGTATATAAGATGTCTGTTCTTCTAGATTGTCATCGTGTGGCATCCTTTTGCACAGCACACTTGTTAGTTTTGTATAACGGCTTCATTGTCTCATTGTCCCTCCACAAGGACACACGATGTGTGTTTTGTCAGCGCGCGTGATTCATGCGATTTTTTTGTATCCCTCTTTTTATGTCTTCGTAAAAAGATGAATTGGCGATGAGTATTGACATTCAGAGCGCAAGCGCGGTGCGGTTTGGTCAAAGCGGGTCTGTGTGGCCCGGGATCGTGCTTGTGGCAAAGCGCACTGAGGGCCCAGTGTGTCCCCCGTCGACAGGTGGACGATCTCCGTGCTCAGCCGCAGCTGCGCCTCGGCGGTTCTCTACAAGACCGCAGGCGCTCCTGAATCTCTGCGCTCTACCGCACGAACAAATACAGCAAGACTGCCATTTCTGTTTACCCGACTGTTTTGCGAAGATGGGGTCGGGGTATTCAGTTTTCTTGATACTTGTTCCTGAGCTGTAATTAGGGGATCGTGTGTGCTCAGTCAGGGAAAGAGAAGTGG